TAATAAAGCCATGAGCAACTTTGTATAAATTACAAGGAACATCCAGAAACGAATTGGTAGTTGTAATTTCATTTTACGGTACAAATTGCCTGATAAATGACACTCCATTTATTTTAATAACTCTTTGGTCTCTCTACTGAATGCTTCTGTTGCTGATGGTGGAAACTTTTTGTACCTAAATAAGTGAAGTCATGACTAAAATTAATTTGATTGAATAGATTGACAACCACTTTGTTGCCATTGTCTGAGCCATGCAAATCTGATCTTGCCATTCTTATTTTTAAAGTAAGCAATTATGTAACCCCAGGTACTCTACCTGGTACTGCGTATTTACACTACCAATATTTATCTCAAAGCTGATGACTACAGTTTAAGTTCCACATGTGTTCAACCCTGCTTCTGTTACTTGTGTCAACTTCATGCCCATCAAATCTGTTCCATCATTCAGTTAGATCATGGCTTGGGCGTATCTTAACTCTACCAACCCATCTTGCTTCTGTAACTATTAATTCTTTTGCCTAACAAATCCTATCAATCTCAGGTCTGGCATTTTTAATTGACCTTAGACCCAACAAGATATTCTAATAGGTTATATTGTGCCGACCAAGAGACCTTCTTACACTTAAAAGCACTCTGACATTTGAGATAAATTTTTATTCTCTGTTCTCCAGAGAATAAAAATGCAACCTAATTGACGGTCCACCGACTTAGGCAGTCCTGAATTCCATGATTACGTAATTCTGATTCAGGTAGTTCTATGGTGTGAACAAAGGTGGCAGGAGGAAATCTACCTAGTGGTCTGGGGTTCTCAGATGATGATGCTGGAGAACTGCTGGGCCCATAGAACTGCACAAAAATAAAATTACATGTGATTGTTTAGGAAGGATTTATGTATGCCTGGAAGTGTACTTGCGCAGTACCCTTTGCCAATCATTCAAAACCTAAATGAAGTCTTTAAGTAAGTTGAAGAAGTGCATTCTAAGCTAGGTTTGGCATCACACTGGATTTACATTCCAAACGTTGTGAAACAAAGTAATTGATGTTTCCAGGAGTCTCTTGCCACTTATTTTTGCAATTAGGTCTTCCTGAGCTTTGCAGAATGCACCAAATGCTCCTGTTTGAATTTAAGGTAGTATGCCAGACAAAAACAAATATTCAGCATTTTGGATTAACTTGATCTCTTTTCCACTTGTTGCTTGTGTCTTATTTAGTTTTGTCCTGTTAAAAAGAGCAACAACGTATTCTTATTGCTTCCGTTGTTATTCTCAGGAGACTTAAAAATGCTTTACAACCAATTAAGTATCTTTTAATTTGTTGCCATTGTAATAAAGGATATTTGGCAACCAATTTTCACATAGCGAACTCTCTTGAACAGCAATGAGATAAGGACTCTGCTTTCGATGTTTGTTGTTATATAGGCTTAAAGCATTGCTTTCTATTGTTGTGTACAATTTGTTTTGTTTAATTTATTTTCTGTTAGATATGATTTTCTAAATACATTGCGGTTAATTTTTGACAGTACTTTTTTTTGCTGTGTATTGTCAAAACCAATTTAAACTGTGTAAAAGTTATTTCACCACTAGGGGATCCTGTTGCTTCATTTCACGATTTTACATAGCAATCAAATGACCCAATGTGGTATCCTGTAATTCTGTGGTATGATATTTAGATGAAATTTTTGCTCTTTTCTTTTCTTGGCAAGTCCCTGTTGTTCAATGAATTGACGTATTATAAGTGCAAATGAGCCAAAGCCTAATCTTCTGTCAAAACTGAATTGAAAATTCTGATATTCAGGATGTCGCCTGTTATATTATGAATATCAATTTTATTTTCACTTCTGAGCATTTTTGTAAATAAAGTATCAGAAATGTTCCAAACAAATTGGCAAGCAAACTGGTATTCCTTCCATGAGTGAAGGAGACTGTACGTTTGGAAGTTACACAGGTACCCCCATTCATGTTTGTGTAGTATTTGTGTGACGAGTGTCATGTTGTTTTGCGTCAGAGTGGCTCAGCAATGGTGCCTTCCTCCAGGTCAAAAATTTGAGAGTTCAAGAGTCATCCCAGAAACATCAAGACATAATCATACCTGGCACTTGGCATATGGAGGGAGTGCTTTGTAATAAAGTAAATAGTTTCACACATGCATGCATTATAATTAATTTGCCACCTTTTTACCTACCACTTAACTCATCTATATTCTTTTATCAGCCTTTGCGTTCTCCTCATGACTTGCTTTCACGTCTAACTTTGTGTCATTGACAAACTTAGGCACATTCCACTCCCTCCCTTCACCTAAGTAATTTGTATGGATTTGTAAGTACTGAGGTCCCAGCGCTGAACGGGGTTCCTCACTGTTTTGTAGCTGTTAATCAGTCCTCAATCATGGTCATAATGATTTCAACCTGATGAACCCTTATCTGTGTCACTTTGTGTGGATTGTGACAATTTATGAATTTTTGGATTTTGGAACTCCATAATGATTAAATATGCCAGTTCTTGAAAATGTATTGCAAGAGACACCATCTCTGAGCTACCCTCATGATGTTGGACTGAGTCTGTCTTATATAACTTCTGCAATTGACTAATCTGCTAGTTAATGGTTCTGGCAAACTGAGATATTGGAGGTCCTGGGAGTGGGTGGGAGGAAAGAATAATAAGATTACATTTTTTGCTGTAGCTGAGCTGGCTTCCATCACCTTCTTTTAAATTCACTCATAGATGAGGGCATCAGTGGCAAGATCAGCATTTATTGCCCATCCCATGGTTAATAATGATGGCAAGGGCACAAAATGTACTCTGGGTGAGGAAGGCCAATATCCACCACCAAGAGTAGCTTGGCAGCAAAACTACAATCGAACTAGTCAGGTCTTAAAGGACATAGCTATTTTAGACTAGGTCTGCAGCAGATTGTGAGGGAACCAACAAGATAGAAAAACATACTTCATCTCATCTTTACCAGTCTGCTTGTTGCAGATGCATCTGTCCATGACAGTATCGATAAGAGTGACTACCCCACAGTCACTGTGGAGATGAAGTCCCACCTTCACATTGAGAATACCCTTCATCATGTTGTGTGGCACTATCACTGCATTAATTGGGACAGACTTCAAACAGATCTAGTAACTTAAGACTGGGCATCCATGAGGCGCTGTGCACAATCAACAGCAGCAGAATTGTATTCCAACACAATCTGCAACCTCCTGGCCCATCACATCTCCCACTCAACCACTATCATCCGGCCAGGTAATCAACCCTGGTTCAATGGAGAGAGCAGAAGGGCATGCCAGGAGCAGCATCTGGCATACCTGAAAATGAGATGTCAACCTGGTGAAGCTACCAAACAAGACAGCTTGCATGCCAACCGCATAAGCAGTAAGTGATAAACAGAACTAAGTGATCCCACAACCAACGGATCAGATTTAAGCTCTGCAGTCCTGCCACATCCAGTCGTGAATGGTGGTGGACAATTAAATAACACCCTAAAGGAGGAGGCACTCGAATATCCTCAATGATGGAAGAGCCCAACACCTCTGCAAAAGAGAAGGCTGAAGCATTCGCAGCAATCTTCAGCTGGAAATGCTGAGTAGATGATTCATCTTGGCCTCCTCCAGTGGTCCTCAGTCTTCAACCAATTCGATTCGATCCACTGATATCAAGAAATGGTTGGAGACACCATATACCGCAAAGGTCCTGACAACCGAATCCCCCATTGTTGACATCCTGCGGGGTTGCCATTGACCAGAAACTCAACTGGACTCACCACATAAACAGTGAGTACAAGAGCAGGTCAGAAGCTAGGAATACTACATTGAGTAACTCACCTGATTCAGGAGTGTGATGGAATATGCTGCACTTGTCTGGATGGGTGCAGCTCCAACAATGCTCACATTTGCCAGGCTGTTAATTGTGATGGAATTCTCCCCCTGGATGGATGACTGCAGCTCTGACAACACTCAAGAAGCTTGACACCGTCCAGGACAAGGCAGACCACTTGATTGGCACTGCATCCACAAGGTCAGAAATCACACAGCAACAGGTTGTAGTCAAACAGGTTTATTTGAAAACACAAGCACCTCCACATCACTGCATCTACAACCATCCGTCCCACCCTCCACCGACACTTAGAACGTCAGGAAGAGTCACTGGACCCGAAATGTTAACTCTGATTTCTCTTCTCGGATGCTGCCAGACCTGCTGAGCTTTTCCAGCAACTTCTGTTGTTTTTCCTGATTTACAGCATCCGCAATTCTTTTGGCTTCTACCTAGAAGGACAAGGGTGGCAGATATGTCAGAACACCACCACCTTCAAGCCATTCACCATCTTGATTGGAAATATATTGCTATTTCTTCACTGTCGCTGGATCAAAAACCTGGAATTCTCTCCCTAATGGATTTGTGGGTCAACATACAGCAGGTGGACTGCAGCGGTTCAAGAAGGAAGCTCACCACCACCTTCTTGAGGGAAACTAGGGATGGGCAATAAATGCTGGCCAGTCAGCAATGCCCACGTCCCATAAGTGAATTTAAAAAAAAGTCCCACAGAGCAGTAAAGAGTCAACCACATTGCTGTGAGTCTGGAGTCCCATGTAGACCAGACCCGGTAAGGATAGCTGTTTCCTTCCCGAAAGGACACTAGTGAACCAGATGGGTTTTTGTTACAATTGACAATGGCTTCAAGGCCATCATTAAACTCTTCATTGCAGATTCTTATTGAATTCAATATCCACCATCCGCTATGGTGGGATTCGAACCTGGGTCCCCAGAACATTATCTGGTTCTCTGAATTAACAATCCGACACAAGCCTTCACCTGCCTGCCACATGCCCACCCACCACCGACACCCATCGAAAGTCCCTGAAATCCAGACAAAATAAGTACAGTGCTGTACTAAATATTTAACCATGTGGTGTGCAAATCCTCCTTTAAATTAGTTGATGAAATGTTCATCTAATTATTTTTTAAAATTATACTTTAATTCTTTGCTTTTGTTTTTTCCAGCAACTAAAGCAGCAACGTGACCAGTTGAAACAGTATCAGAAGAAGATTGCTATTCAACTTGAAAAGGAGCGGGAAATAGCTCGACAGCTGCTTCGTGGTGGTAAGAAAGAGTGGGTATCACAGATGTTATGTAAACTTGTGAAATTTTCTGACTTGTTTAAATTCATCAGTTAAGGGTAGTATTCTGGAGCAGCCCATATCACTCTTCCAGTTGTTCAATGTATTAAGTGTGGAGGAAAAAATGGTGTGATTATAGGGCTTATCTGACTCTTCCTAAGTTTGACTCTTCATTTTCCAAAACTAAAATTTCTTTTCCATTACAATGTAGGAACAGGAGTAAACAATTCAGCCTATCAAACTTATTTTCCCGTTAAAATTAATCATGGCTCATCTGTATTTAACTTGTTCTATGACTTTGTTCTGTAACCTTTTGATATACTTGCTTAAAACAGCCTAGTTTTAAGGAGTCTGGCTAAGTGACTTTCTCCAGCAATTTTGAGTTTATTTCAGATTTTCAGCATCTGCATTTTGCTTTAGTCCTAATCTATTCAATGTCCTCAAAATTTAATCCTTGTAGCCCTGATATGAATCTGAAAATATGTTGTTTCCCCCTTCAAGGCCAATGTAATGAAACTGTGATGTCTCTTTTAAGACCCAGGTGAATTTTGGTTTACTCTGAGGGTCGTTCAGTTTCCTAACTATGGCAGTATTGGGTTCCAAGAAGTGCCCATGTGACCTGATGTTGCCGTGGGGATGAACAAAAAGAAAACTAATTGCAGTAGAGTTGGTCAGCCTGTTTTTCTGTTTGGAACATACTGAGAATTGATGTAAAGAGGAAACGACAAAGTGTGTATGTGTGTTTGGTGGGGGCAGGGGGATGGTGGCAGGTGGCAGGTGGAGTCAAGTCTTGTCCAGCAGCTTTATTTCCATTGTCACTGTGAGGGTTGTTTTCTTTTTAAAATGCTAGAAATTTTATTTAAGATGAGAAACAGTACACTTATACAATTATTAACATTATCAGGCAGTGTCAACATAGTTTGTGAAAGGAAAATTGTGTTTTTACAAATTTAGTTCTTTTGAGGCTGAACTAAGCAGTTGGATTAAAGGGGAATCAGCAGAGGTAGTGTATTTGGATTTCCAAAAGGCATTTGATAACATTCTGCATAATGTTACTATTCAAAATAAGAGCTTATATGTTGTTGGAAATGATAGATCAGCATGGATGGAGGACCGGCTAAAAGACATGAAATAAAAAGTCAAAATAAATGGATCATTTTCAGGATAACAAACGGTAACTAGTAGACAGTTGCACGGATCTTTGCTAGGCCTTCAACTATTTATGATCTCTGCTGATGATTTGGATGAAGGAACCATCTACTGTAACCACATTTGCTGATGGAATGATGATGGATAGGAAAGCAAGTTGTGAGGAGGATATAAAGTTTCTGTAAAGAGCTTTGGATAATTTGAGTGGGCAGATGTTTGACACATTTAAGTATAATAAGGGAAGATGTGAGGTATTAAAACACATAATATTTTGAAGGGGGGTTGACAGAATTGTTGCTGAGAGAATGTTTTTCCTCTTGGGATATATCTAGAAGTAGGAGGCACAGCATATATATAAATACATTGTAATTAGCCTCTCTTCTGTAAATATATTGTCATTATCTACTCTCTCCTCCTCCTCTTCCCATCATATATAATATTCATTCTGTTACAGGACTCCCAGTTGATCTTTTTCAGAAACACCACTAATAATCAGAAATATTCTTCTTGAACTGCTTGACATTATTGAGAGTTTGTTCATACAATTTTTCTAATGGTTCAATAATTGGAATGTTAGGCGAGCTTTTAGTTTGAGATTTGAATTGCATAAATACCACCACTAGGTGGTGCAAAGAGCATGCATGCACAAAAAGGCTGAGTGAAATATCAACCAGACACCACCATTATGATCTGGAAAGCAGGAATTTTACTAATGTAAAGTTCAAATGAAATTCAGTGTTTTGCTGTTGTATTAATTTCAAATGACCTTTGTTGAGAATGAACCTGGCTGTGGAACAGGCCTAATTTTATACCTAGTTCATCTCTGTTCAGAGAGATGTGGTGGTTTTGAGGAGAGCTTTTGACTTCAGATTTTTACACTTGCACCATTTCATTTCTTGGCTTGTTTTATTCACTAGGTAAAGTTGTCATAGTCCCAGAGGACCATAGAGCTGCTCTCTCATAGAGTTTTAGAGGCATACAGCATGGAAAAAGGCCCTTTGGCCCAACTCATCCATGCTGACCAAGTTTCCTAAACTAAACCAGTCCCATTTGCCTGCATTTGGCCTATATCCCTCAAACTTTCCTATTCATGTACTTGTCTAAATGTCTTTTACACATTCTAATTTTACCCACCTCTACCACTTTGTTGGACAGCTTGTTATACATACGCATCACCCTGTGTGAAAAAGTTGCCTCTCCGGTCCCTTCTAAATCTTTCACCTCTCGCCTTAAACCAATGTCGTCTAGTTTTGGACTAGACCTAGGGAAAAAAAGCCTTCCAATTCACCTTTATATATGCTCCTAATGATTGTATAAACCTTTATAAGGTCACTCCTCAGCCTCCTATGCTCCAGGCTAAAAAGTGCCAGCCTATCCAGCCTCTCTTTTATAAAAAAAAGGTCAAATCTTCCAGTCTTGGTAAAATGCTTGTAAATCTTTTTAGTTCCTTTTCCAGTTAATGTCACACTGCTATTTGAAGGATGTTCAGTATTGTATGCAGTATTTCAATGTGCCCTTACCAGTTAGGGAGACAGACAACAGATGGTGAGTTTAATCCAAGGGTCACCACTAGCCAGGTGAGGTGTGACGTTGAGAACGCAGGACCTTCAAGGTGACCTCAGCTGGTGCCGGAAATGAGCCCACATTGTTGGCATTACACAGCATCAGAAACCAGTACACCAGCAACTGAACTAACCACCTCCCAAAGCTAAACCTAACCCGGCCCCTGCCAGCTGACCCTTATGCCTGGCTCTGTTGGATACTTACCTCTCTCTGAATAGCCTGTTGCTCTGGCCTTCTGAGATTTTCTTGCAAGATGGGGCAAGTACAGGCCAGAGTACTCCTTCAGCTTGTCCAATCACAGGTTTACTCCCTCCCATCCTTAATGTTCCTCCAATCACAGATTCTATCTCTGTAGGAGCAACAAGAGTTAGAGATGGAGAGAAGCTGGAGAAGGGACCGTGAGAAAGAGGGGGAATCTCTGATTGGAGGAACAGCTCCTCATACATTTTGTCTCTTTCTCATGTGGCGATACTTGTTCTCTGGTCTCCCTGTGATTGAATTTTCAGGGGCACATTAGCCATTTCTAGAATGTATCTCAAATGCTGGGGAATGGTTTCAAACTAAGGATCTCCCATTTAAGATGGGAATAAGGATAAGTTTCTTCTAAGTGTCATTTGTGTTTGGAATTATTACTCAGTGGAAGCCAGGTTGTTGAAGATACTTAACACTGAGTTAGAAGATGTTTTATTGTTGAGGGAGTCAAGTGGCATGGTGTGCAGGCAGGAAAGTGAAGTTCAAACCATATCAAATCACCCATGATCTTTCTGAATAGTGAAGGAGCCTTCTGCTCATTTCTTATGTCCTTTATGTGAAATTTTATCAGTCTCTACGAGGATGATAGCAGTATTCTGTGTAAGGTCCTTTGCCTGGAACTAATGCATTGCCACAGATGGAGTCTGACCACACCTGATTTAGATAAAGTCGGCATGTCACTAGACTTTAAAACTGCTGGACCCATACAAAAAATAATTTAAGTGACTTCTGTATTTGAATCCCCTAATCTCTCAGTTTTTCCTTTAGTTTCTGACTTTTTGCTGTTTAGAAAATACTGCTGATCACTTGTTTTTTAAGTCAATGTGATGATCTTATACTTTTTCACATTGAGCTCTATCCTAATCTCAATCTATCCATGTCCCTTTACAACTTCTGCTCCCATTTACAGCATATATTGTGCCACCTATTTCACTGTCGCGTGCAAACTTACATACGTGGCGCTCCATTTTTTTGTCCAAGTCATTTATATAAATCAGAGAAAAGCTTTGGTTTCATCCCCTGATGGATTCTCATTAGTGTTAGTTAATAAGATAGATGTTGACATGAAGTAAGGATTTCTAAAGCAGCATGCTGGGAGGAAAGGACTGTGATAAAACGTTTGCTCGCATGCACCCGTGATCATTCGTAGAAGGGGAACTGGCACCAACTCAGAACAGGTTTTTAAGATCTGAATGCATTAACTTAACACTTCCTTTTGTTCTTCAGTAAAGCCAAACTTCTGCTCAAGAAGAAACGATATCAGGAGCAACTTCTTGATAAAACTGAAGTTCAGATTGGCAATCTTGAGAAAATGGTAAGGAAAAAACCTTCTGTTCTGGGTAACAAATGCATCAGATTTGTGAACAGCCTGTTTGAGTTAACTAGGAATATAAGATTATCTCGTTGGCATATTCTCCTTTTCTCTATGGAAATTCTCTCCCTTGCCTTCTCATTTTTCCAGCTCTCACTGCATCCTCCTTCTAGCCTCTTGCTCTGTTCATTTCTTCATGGCTTTCATACTTCTTTCTTGCCCTTAGTGCATGCCTCTATCGTCCCTGAACTTTTCTTTAGTTTAAACTTGTTTTCTTCCAAACATCTCCTTACTCAGATGAGTTCTCTTAGCTCTGACTAATTATGTAGACATCAAGGTTATATATAACAAAAACAAAACTGAGTAGTTAAAACTAAGTTGTGTAGAACTAAGGGTTAAGGCTGCGCAGATGAGCTTCTAAGGTACACTGTGCGAGTGACCTCAGTAATCATGAGAGAGACAGGCTCTTGCTAACAGTTTAAAACTAGATAAGCTTATGGCAGGGATGTCTGCTGCAATATCTTCATTTATGCAATGTAAATAAATACTATTTGTTTGAAGAAATGCCTTAAAGTATGGCCTGAGTTTATCTTAACAGACAGACCACGTTAAAATAAATAGTATGTTGGACCCCTCGTTTGAAAAAGCAGTGGTTTAAAATCTACCCTAGAATGACAGGTTTGAGAATGTACATTTGCTTTGTGTAAGATGTTTATGAATAGACTCAATCTAAATCCGAGTCAGCACTGACGCAAAATGCAGTAATTACCTAAATTTGTCAATCACTGGCTATTTGTGAAAAATAATGATGTATGTTGGGGGCAACATATCCTATGAATACCACCTCTTGGTGACGCAAAGAGTAGAAAGAAAGCTGACCCATTCTCAAGGAATGGGAAGCAGCTGCCTGGATGTAAAATAAAGCCTGCAGTACGACAAAATAGAGTTTATTTTGAAGTTGATCTTCTTTCTCTACAGTATTTCTTTCCTTCTCTCTCTCTGAGCAGCTTTATTCTCACTCCCACTCCCACTATGGCCACTCAGCCTTTATTCCCAGGCAAAAAGGAGGCTGTCTCCTGGTACAGCCTTCCCAGTAACCAGTCTTGGTTTTGGCCTTTGTCCTGCTCGCCCTGTGGCCTCAGCTGCTTCTTTGCTCATCTGGATCCCTTTGACAGTGGTACCTATAATGATAGTGTTGCTGCACCCAGAACATGCTCCTGCAAATGGCATGTGTACAAGCACTTCCTGCTTTCTGTGCAGGTGACCTCACTGGCACTGTCGCACAAATGCAGGGACCATTTTTCATTGTTGGTAATCACTCCAATTTTGGAGATGATATGAATCACTGGCTGTTGGAAATGACAAGTTGTAACCTCGTGGTAGTATTTTTCGTCATGATGAACACACACAAGTAGAAAAGGTTGCTTTTTGATGTATTAGTGAATAAATTCATTTAATGTGTTTCATAATGGCCAAGTCACCAAGAATGTTTCATAATTGTCTCTTTTGCAATGATAAAACTGATACTCCTTGTTGACTAATTACTGCCTCTTCTGTCCTTCTCTCAATTCAAGTCTTGCTTAATGTAACAAATAAAACTTGCCAGCCTTTTTGAAGTATGACAATAATGCTTCTTATTTGTGTTTGATTTTAAAGGTTCAGGACATTGAATTTACTCAAATAGAAATGAAAGTTTTGGAAGGACTTAAAATCGGAAACAGCTGTCTTCAGAAAATGCACGAGGTATATCTCTGAAAAGTAGTGGTGACGTCTGCATTGTTGAAATTTCTTGAACTATTTTTGGATTGTTCTTGGGATGCAAACGTCACTGGGCAAGGCCAGCATTAATTGGCTGTCCTTGATTGCCTTTGGAAAAGTGGTGGGGAGCTGCTTTCTTGAACTGATGCTACTCATGCTTTGGAGGGAGATCCACAGATACATGAACAGTTTTATCTGTGGCAATTTGATACAGCTAATTGGTGCGCTACTCTGCTTAGGACAGCAATTAAGAGTCAACCACACTGCTGTGAATTTGGAGTCATATATAAGCCAGACTGGAAAAGGATACCAGATCTCCATTGAAGGAAATTATGGAAACAGATGGGTTTTTACAACAGTTGGATAGTTTTATGACCATTACTAATGAGACAAGCTATTTTATTCCAGATTGATTGGTTTATTGATATAAAATGCCTCAGCTCAGTTCAAGCAAAGGTATTTTCCTTTTAATATGGATGAGTTATAATGTTCACCTTCTTAAAATAGTATGGTAGTATTGAAAAACTTTTTTTTTTAAATTTAAGATTATGTCCATTGAAGAAGTAGAAAGAATAATGGATGAGACCCAAGAAGCTGTTGAATACCAGAGGGTGAGTAGTACGATGCACAATTAAAATTCTACTAATGTCTGAATGTAGGATCAAAACAAAAAGAATGAAAGTTTGGCAAATCTGGTCTTAACACTGTGTGGCTTTTTGTTATTTCAGCAAATTGATGACATTTTGGCTGGGGGAATATCTCAAGAAGATGAGGATGCCATTCTGGCTGAACTAGATGCTATAACTCAGGTGAGGATACGCATTTGTCTAGTTACTGAACAATTAACATTACTAATGCTTGCCAGCCTTTGGACACACAACCTGCTCTCCCACCTTGTTACTACGGTCATCAAAGTCCAAACATAAATTTAACCTCTGTCTTGAAAGATCCATTCCTGATGGTGTTGTAATCATTCACACTCTGTCATCTAAAACTATTGAATGGTTTCTAAACACTGACTAATCTGCTTCTCCAACCATTTGAGTTAAAAAAAAAACTTGTTCATTTTCATTATTCTTGGTAAAATCTGCTTTTTAATGGTCAATTGCAGTTTTAATATAAATTTTGGTTTAACCTTGTAAAGACGTTTGCTTGGACTTTGAGCTAAATATAGTTGGCGACACGGCAGCACAGTGGTTACCACTGCTGCCTCACAGCACCAGGGAATTGGGTTTGATTTCCCCTCTCGGGCAACTGTCTGTGTGGAGTTTGCACATTCTTCCCGTGTCTACGTGGGTTTCCTCTGGATATTCTGGTTTCCTCCCATGGTCCAAAGATGTGCAGGTTATGTGAATTGGCAATACTAAATCGCCCATAGTATCCAGGGATGTGTAGGCTAGGTGGATTAGCCATGGGAAAATGCAGGGATCGGGGATCTGGGTGGGATGCTGTTCGGAGGGTTGGTGTGGATTTGATGGGCCAAATTAAGGTTCTCTAGATTTTTAATCGTTATCGCGCAGTAATGTCCAGAGACCACATACATGTAGCTGAATACAGACATCTGGAACTTGTTACTTGCTATACCTTGCTGTACCTCTCCACAAGTTGTGCTCCACATTGTGATGTAAGTTCTGAGATATATTTTGAGTTTGGACTGTGTGTCTGAAAGTGTTTAATTATTAACTCATAAGTATTGTTGAAGCTGTGATGTCTTTATTTTTTTTAAAAATGTGTTTGGGGGTTTTGGAGTCTAATAGAAATTGGCTTAGTTTGGGAGAGTTTGAGTGAATAAAGTAAACAGTGTAGTGTGTTAGCTTACAGAAGATTCAGGAACTTTTTTTGCGCTGGGTTGGGGGGGGAACACCATAACGTTGAACAATTGTTTTCTTTAGTTCCAGTTCAAGCATTTCTATAGGACTATTAGCTGAGGCTAGATCTGCAATACAGTTGCTCCTGAGAAAGGAAGAAGATAGTTTAGAATTGGTAAAAATAGGTTACCTCAGTGTAAGGAGGGAAGTTTAAAAGTTCCAGACCAGACATGTTTGATTAAAATCTTGAAGGTGTTATGTGAAGCTGAGAAAGTCTAAGCTTAGGTGCGTAAGAAGTCAAGGAAGAGGCTATCAGATTCTCACAACCAGTAGTTGAAGCCACAACTAAGTCAAACCTTACGTGGGATTAAAAACGGCATTTTCTCTACTGTTTGAGTACTGTAATAGGATGCTATTGAGATTTGTTGTGTTTGGATAGTGGGGGCAGAAGCGTGCTCTTTATGGGGACTGTTGCCTAGCTGAGATTTTTTTCCCCTAAACTGTCCATTTAATAGCTAAAGGCTAGGCTTGGCATTCTAGACTCTTGAAGATGGAGAGCCAATAGGAGGCCCTGCAGCATTGAAGAAGTAGCACACTGCTTTTTTTTTTTGTGAGAGATCAACTAAATATGGAGGCCCTTTCTCTTCATTTTTGAATGGAAAATGAAAAATGTCCTTTTCAGGTGGGCCAGCATTGTGAGGAGAGAAATCCTGTACAGAGAGGCCTGTGGCTAAACTAAACTCAATCATAGAATCCCTACAGTGTGGAAACAGGCCCTTCGGCCCACAAGGCCACACTGAACCTCAGAGCATCCCACCCAGACCCATCCCCCTATAACCCACCTAATCTACACATCCCTATGGGCAATTTAGCATAGCCAATTCACCTAACCTGCACACCTTTGGACTGTGGGAGGAAACCGGACCACCCGGAGGAAACCCACGCAGACACAGGGAGAATGTGCAAACTCCACACAGACAGTCGCCCAAGGCTGGAATTGAACCTGGGTCCCTGGCGCTGTGAGGCAGCAGTGCTAACCACTGAGCTACCATGCCACCCCAAACTCAACTCAGGCAGAAAGGCCTTTAAATAGCTATAATTGATATTTTCCCCATGTTTTCTGGAAACCATATCGCTTTCTTCTGCCTCTGGGAAAATGGCTAGGAGGCATGTTGGTTGGCAGCATGAAATTCTTGGACCAATGGGGTCTTAAAAATTTGAGCTTATGGTTGTTTGACCAGAGAGGACCATGGTAGATTGGATGCCCAATGACAGCATTTGATGCTTAACATTTTGCAAGAAATCTAGGGTTGTGGAAAATGGAGTGAGTTGCAAGTGCTGTTTCTTCCCTGCTGCCCACAGTTATACTTATTCTCCCTTCAATTCTGAATTTATATTTTTTAGCCTTGGTACATGATCTTATTAAATGTTTTACAGGAGATGCCTTGTTAGGAATCAGTTACTAATAGAAATGAATTCTTTTAATCTTTCAGGAAGAAATTGAACTCCCAGAAGTTCCTGCAGAGCCACTGCCAAATATATCTGCAAGAGAAAAAGGTATGCATGGGATTTATCATTTACAAGCTGAATTCAGTTTTGCAGAAAGTCTTTCAATTTAAAGAGGTTGTCTACTTGATTTTGGATAATATATCTTAGCCTATATGGTTTTCTTGAGTATTGTAATTTTCACCTTTCTTATTTAAAAAGTTAATGAACAGCAAATGATACATGGTGTACCTGTGAATTCCTGATGTGCATGGTCAGTGGTTGCAACTGTCTGCCTGTAGTATGAGCTCCAGAGAACACCCTCAGGATTTTGCATATTTTTATTCTGATTAGATTTTGGGGTATATTTTGATAGAGGCAAAGTGGAACTGTACCTTTGTAATGGTTCATGTATAGTGTTTGTTAATATGGGGTGGGGGAAATACCTTTTATTCCTCTTTGAATTATTTATTGGTATTTACACTGTATCAAAATTCCAGTGATTTTATAATTTGTCCGAATAGTATGGCTAGTGGTGCTCTATTGTTGATGCATAAATGGTACAGCACCCTCTGGTGAGGGGCAAATGTGTGTGATTGAACAATTGTTCATGGTCCTGAGGTTGCCCTGCTCTGTTGTTCAGTTTGGCAAAATTGGCACTTCACTGTTTGCCTCATCATTCAAATGCATTGAGTCATGAGTTTATTGTATTTGCACAGCAGATAAAATCGTAACCTCCGAATCAAATCCAGTCCATTTCAGTCAAATGCTCTTTACAACTGGGATAATTCTTAGTTATAGCTAATCACACTCTGTGGCACAGAAAATGAACGTTTACAAGTGTGAAATCCCATTTCTTAAGATTTAAATTGTTGAAAAATCTAGTTTCTTCTTTCTTTGAATAATTCAATCTTTTGTTCTCTTCCTGTGTCCCTCTGATTAGACATTGGATTCGTTCTTTTAATTTATATTTGCTTCTCTCTTCTTGACCCGTTAATCAACTGGATTGAAGAATTGTAAAGCGGTTGCACAGTTGTTTGCTGTGTTCTTTCAGGTCCTAGATTTTCCTAATTGTGACATAATAAATTCTCTTTCAGTGGATTGCCATTCCAATAATTTTAAATTATGGGGAGATGATGGAGTAGTATTATTGTCACTGGACTAATCCATTGACCCAACTAGCGTACTGGGAGAGCATAGTTCTTGTGGAGACAATGTCCTGGCTACAAATTAGGCACAGCCCGCTTGATGCGATGTGGTACTTTTGCCATGCTAAATGGGATAGACATTGAATAGACCTAGCAACTCAAGACTGAGTATCCATGAGGTGCTGTGGGCCATCAGCAGCAGTAGCAGATTCGTGCTACAACACAATTTGCAACCTCAAGGGCCAGCATATCTCAACCCTGGTTCAGTAAAGGTGCAGGAGGGCTGCCGGAAGCAGCAAATATCCAGTCCTTCTACCCCTGATGTACAGTACCAGCAGTGTGTACCATTGAGAAGATACACTTCCCAAATTCTCCAAGGGTCCTTAGACAGCACTTTCCAAAGTTACGACCGCTAACCTTCAGAAGAATAAAGGCAACAGATACGTGGGAGAGCACCATTTGCAAGTTCCCTTCCAAGCCACTCAGCATTCTAACTTGAAACTATATCACTGCTCCTTCACTGTCACTGAGTCACAGTTGGGGGAACACTTTTTCAAACAGCATTGTGGATCTACTTAAATCAAATTAACTGTAGTGGTTCACGAAGGTAGCTCACCACCACCTTCTCAAAGGCATCTAGGGGTGAATAATAAATGCTGGCTGAGCCACTGAAGCCTACATCTTGTGAAAGATTTAAAAAAAAACACCTAAATGTGCTCCCCCTCCCATTCCTCAGACGACATGTCCATTCTGGGCATCCTGCAGTGCCACAACGATGCCACCCGAAGGTTGCAGGAACAGCAACTCATATTCCGCTTGGGAACCCTGCAGCCCAATGGTATCAATGTGGATTTCACAAGTTTCAAAATCTCCCCTCCCCCTACCGCATCCCAAAACCAGTCCAGCTCGTTCCTGCCTCCCTAACCTGTTCTTCCTCCCACCTATCCCCTCCTCCCACCTCAAGCCGCACCCCCATCTCCTACCGACCAACCTCATCCCGCCCCCTTGACCTGTCCGTCCTCCCTGGACTGACCTATCCCCTTCCTAACTCCCTACCTACACTCACCTTTACTGGCTCCATCCCCGCCTCTTCGACCTGTTTGTTTCCTCTCCACCTATCCTCTCCTCTATCCCTCTTCTATCCGCCTCCCACTCTCTCCCTATTTATTTCAAAACCCCCTTCCCCTCCCCCTTTTCTGATGAAGGGTCTAGGCCCGAAACGTCAGCCTCTCTGCTCCTATGATGCTGCTTGGCCTGCTGTGTTCATCCAGCCCTGCACCTTGTTGTCTCGGATTCTCCAGCATCTGCAGTTCCTACTATCTCTGACCTAAATGTGATGGCCAAGTTAAATACCTTGCCTTACCAAATCATGGCCCAATATTAGCTGAGGTGTCACTCTCTGTAGTTTTTTTTAATTCATTCATGGGATGTTGCCCTTGAGAAGGTGGTGGTGTGCTGCCTTCATGAATTACTGCAGTCCATTTGAATGTATGTTCATCCACAATGCTGTTAGGGAAGGAGTTCCAGAGGATCATAGAGCCATATAGCATGGAAACAGACCCTTCGGTCCAACTTGTCCATGTCGAACAAGTTTTCCAAACTAATTTAACTCCACTTGCCTGCATTTGGCCCATATCCCTCTAAACGTTTCCTATTCATGTAGCTATCCAAATGTCTTTTATATGTTGCAACTGTACCTGCATCTCCCACTTCTTTGGGCAGTTCGTTCCATATATGAAGCATCCTCTGTGTGAAAAGGTTGCCCGTCAGGTCCCTTTTAAATCTTTCTCCTCTCACGGATGCTGGTTTTAAATTCCTCCACCCTATGGCGAAGAACTTTGCTATTCACCTTATTTACGCCCTTTATGATTTTAAAAACCTCTATAAGGTCATGCCTCAATGCCCTACACCCGAGCCTATTCTTATAATTCAAATCTTCCAGGAATATCCTTTCTATAGCACGGCAACCAGAACTGTACACATACTCCAGAAGTGGCCTCACGATCGTCCTGTACAACCTCAACATGACGTTCCAACTTCTAGCAAAAACAGGAGTTGCTGGAAAAGCTCAGCAGATCTGGCAGCATCTGTGAAGAGAAATCAGAGTTAACGTTTTGGGTCCAGTCGAAGCTTACAGCCCAATGGCCATACCATTGACTTCACCAGCTTCGAAATCCCTCCACCCCCAGCCTTATCCCATGTCCAGCTCTCCCCCCACCTGACCTGACCTGACCTGACCTAACCTAACCTAACCTAACCTAACCTGTCCATCTTTCTACTCGCCTATCTGCTCCACCCTTCCCACAGACCAATCACAATAATCCCCTACCTGCATCCACCTATCACCATCTCTCCTACCCTTCCTCCTCCCCAGTCCTGATGAAGGGTTTCGATCTGAAACATCGACTTACCTGCTGCTCAGATGCTGTCTGAACTGCTGTGCTTTTCCAGATTCTCACCAATAACTTTTGTTTCTGATTTACCACATCAGCAGTTCTTTTGGGTTTTATTTAGTTCCAACTTCAGTACTTCGTGATCTGAGCAGTGAAGTCAAGCAGCCAAACACCGCCTTAACCACCAACCTGTGATGCAGCTTTCAAAGAACTATGTACCTGAACCCCTGGGTCTCTCTGTTTGACAACACTACCCAGGGCCCTACTATTAACTGTCACAACATGACATCCCAACTCCTATGCTCGGACCAATGAGGGCAAGCTTGCCAAACACCACCTTCGCCAAACACCACCTTCACCATCCTATCTGTGACACCACTTTCAAGGAACTATGTACCTGAACCCCTAGGGGTCTCTGTTCAACAACACTCCCCAGGGCTCTACCATTAACTGTATAAGTCCTGCCCTTGTTTGTTTTACCAAAATGCAAAACCTTGCATTTATCCAAATTAAACTCTATCTGCCACTCCTCACTGGCCCAAGTGATCAAGATCCCTTTGTGATCTTAGACAACCTTCTTCAGTATTGACTATACCACCAATTTTGGTGTTATCCGCAAACTTATCAACCGTTCATCCTAAATTCTCATCCAAATCTTTTCTATAAATGATAAACAAAAGTGGACCCAGCACCGATCCCTGCAGAATACTGCTGGACACAGGCCTCCAGTCCGAAAAGCAACCCTCCACCACCATCCTCTGGCTCCTATCACCAAGCCAATTTTGTATGCAGTCGGCTGTGATCATGTGATAAAGTCCATATAGACAATGCCTGTCGCTGTTGGGGGAGCTGAGTGACTTTTTGTCGGATAGCTCAGCTTCTAGACGCTAGTGCAAATTGTCCCACTGTTTGAATCAAGGGGCAGCATGGTGGCTCAGTGGTTAGCATTGCTGACTCACAGCGCCAGGGACCCGAGTTCGATGCCACCTTCGGGTATCTGTCTATGTGGAGTTTGCATATTCTCCCCGTGACGTGTGCATTTCCTCCGGGTACACCGCGGTGTAGTCCCACAGTCCAGCAATGTGCAGGTTAGGTGGATTGGCCATGCTAAATTTCACATAGTGTCCAGGGATGTGTAAGCTAGGTGGATTAGCTGTGGGAAATGCAGGGTTACAAGGATAGCACAGAGGGTCAGGGTGGACTCGATGGATGAATGGCCTGCTTTTACACTGTAGGGATTCTTTGATTCTACTAAGTGACTTCAGTGAGTGATTCGGATTTGAGGAGCAAGGATGATGTATACGTATATCTTTTATTGTAGAGTTGGGAGTTGAAGCCCACCTGTCCCCTATCTACAGTTTGTGTGAGACCTATTACTGTTTGCCTGTTTTTGATTGGATTTAAAAGAAGCAAAGAATATTTTTATCAGCCACTTAAAGTAACTACCTGAAAAATGTTAGTTAATGGGATATTTCCAACCATGTCTGTCAATAAAGGCCCAAAATGGTTTGAAATAACATATTCATGTTTTGTTTTGTTGTCTCTTGTTTAAATTCAAATTATTCAGAAAAGACAGTTTTTGAGATGCAACATGTGACTTTATATTGTGTTCAAGGTTGTGTGTTAAGGTTTGAATTTGTTCCCCTTTTTTCACAAGTGCTTGTAATTTTGGACATCTCTTGCCAAATAATAAGTATATGTCATTGAATGTTTAAAAACTTTGTCCGCTGTACAAATAGGTGATGGTGCAACAAGCTGCAGGTGGTGCTCCACCAAGCAGTATTTTGAATGCTGGGATTTAATGAGTAGAATGGGTATGTTGAGGGCAGGAAATGGTACACCTATGCAGTTAAAAGATGTCTGTGGGTTTGGAACATGGCAAATTGGGACATAGTGGAGAGAGCCGTTCCATAGTTCTGAACTAGGAGCGGTTGATGTTGATATTGGATTTTAACATTGAGGTACAGTTTAGTTTGTATCTCCTATGGATTTTAAGTTATATTCTTTCAAGATAATTCAATTAGGGCATTAACTTCCTTTTTTTCTTAAACAGGAAAAGAGCCAGTTAAAAACACACCAAAACAAGAGATGGTGGCAGCATCGTAACTGAACTTTGGACTTTCAATGACACTGACACATGTGATTTCTCTTCCGTATGTTTTCTAGAGTTGATCATGATTCACCACCCTTTCTGAGGGTTGAGAAATTCAAACATGCACTTCAGGAGGATCTTTACTCTTTCCTGGCATTGTTTACTTTGTAAAAATGAAATTTCTGTCTTGACTTTTTTTAAATGTATTTTTCACTTTTTAAAAAGTCAAAAGTGCATTGCTGTAGAATTCTAAATCCAGTGATATTGATATTCCCTTGAAATTCATTCACAATCAAGCTAATTTACAAATTTTCAGTCTGTGCTTAGTTCTAAAATTTGGAATGGCTTCCAGATAAACTTGCACTGACCTAGTAATACAGTAGTGTATAAATTTGGTAAATTACATTTTTATCTGTAAACCATTAAATTTTCTTTGAATCTTTTGATAAGCACCTACACAGGATTAAAGAAAATGCAATTCGTAAAGGAATGAAGTGTCCAGAATGTAAAATGATTCCTAGAGAAGTAGCACATTTGGCACTGTGGTGGGATAATTATTATAAATGCATTCTGTTCTTTTAATAAATTCTCTGACATGAAACATTAAAAAATTAATTGTATTTAAAAAGAAACCTGCTGAAGAATTTTAATTTATGGAGAAAAGAGCAGTATTATGAATTGTTTATTATATCTGTAATCTCCATGGAAGAGTTCAAATGAACTCCTTATAACGCTGTGCATTGGAATTCTCTATGTAGTGCTCTGGCGGGGCATCATTGCTAAGCTTGTAAATGGATGGAATTGAAATATCAGTGTCAAAAATGGGACTTAGTAAGTTTATCAGGTTTTCACTATAGTTATCAAATCTATTTAAAATAAGTTTGGAACTACAGTGGAATTCCACTGAGTACTTGTAAAATTCTTGCTATGTGATTGTGAATTTGAAATGGAAGTCTTGGACTTTGTATTTAAAGACTGAAAATGATTTTCGAGCTGCTAATCAAACTTACATTGTTCTGTTTTTAATCATGTTATAAATGTATTCCATTGCAGCTTGGTTCCTTAGCCACTAAACAGAATATCTTTGCTCTGCAAGGTTAATATATTTCTTGACTTGCACTTGTATTGGTTCTCATTTGGTCATATTGTTCTAGGAACTAATTGTTTGTGATGAAGAACTGTTCAAAATGAACTGTTCAATTTAAAAAAACAACCTCCAGAAGCAATGTGAAACTGAGTCATCTTGAGTGTACACATGGTTTTCTCCTAAAATCTTAAAGTGCACAACCATAGTTTATCATGGTACAATTATCAGTTTTACGTACTGCCGGATGGTGAGAGTGGAATGAGGGGATGTGCTGAATAGAGGTCAAGCATTTCATCATGGAAGAGAACATGAGGGCAAAATCACCACAATTGCTGTCAAAGGCAGCTCAAGCCTTGCATTGAGCAAGGACTTGGATGTAGTTTGAGTCTGATGCATGCAGGGAGCGGGAACACTTTTTTTTTCTGATAACTCAACTCAATGACTCCAGTCATGGCCATGTAAGAATTCCTTGTATATTTATTTTAATCAGTTGTAATAAGTACATATTTTTTAAAGGGGTATGCTTGCTTTCATACCAAAAATAAAAATTGATGGCAACTTTCAAATCTTGCAAAGATCATAGACTGATTGAAATTCCTACCTATAAGCACATAACCTTAATTGACATTTGTGCATGTGTCAAATATACTTTTATTTGGATACATATATATGTAAAAGTCTTTTTGAGAGTTCCCCTGATGTATTTTACAGAACAAAATCAAAATTTCTACCAAGAATGATTTAATGCCTATGGAAATTGCCTTATCTTGGTGTTATAATCTTTTCGGTACTATGCTTTAAAACTTACACACCCTTTTGATCTCTGTAATAAATTTCTACAAACTGTGTTTGTTACAATGTAGAATAAAAATAATCACACTTTGACTTTCTTTGCAGTAGGATATGTTTTCAATAAATAAAAGTGGGGTTTTTTTTGGGTTGGGAAATGTTGCTTTAATCTTTCAGTAGATTTCAAACATCTGGTTTGGAACTGAAATAATGCTTGTGCATCTAAGGATTGTCACTGTTCCAAGCAACACATTGCCGTATTATCATAACTAATCCTTGGAGAAGGACAATGTGGAAGTCAGTGAATTGAACAAAATTGAATAATAGAAAGCTAACATACTTCAAATTATTAAATGTACTTTAGTTATGATGTCAATCTTTGTCCTTTCAAAAAAATCTAAAATGCATTGTGACTAACAGTGACTAAGATCTCTGACAATGTGTGTGTATGTGGGATGTGTGTTTAGTGAATGGTTCAAAGATTATAGGGTTGATAATGTAATCTGTCCTTGAGTCTCCTTTTAAATGAAACTTGATCACCATGATGACTCAGAAGAAAGGTTACGATTAATTAAAAAGTCATTTAGCCAAAGATGTTGCAACCCCTCTGATATCCCAATTCTTCCTTTATGATACTCTGCATTTGAACTGTGCACATGTTGTGCCTTGGGTTTAGCCATTCGTCACTTACTGAAGAAACTTTCTTTTTCATGGCTTTGAAGTAACTTTTCAGTGTTCCATTTCAGCTTGATTTGTTTCAAATTATGTGCCGGTGTCTGTTTTTGCATTTGTTTTTTTTAAACAAGATCTTAACTGCAAAGTTGCTTAAAGTTGTAATTGCTATCTTTGCCTGCTACAGGAGTCCATATTCTCAAGGGAGGGCTGAAATTTTTGGACTGTTGTAAATCACACTGGTTTCTGCATTGGTCTTGATGGTCAGTTACTTAATGCCAAAATTTCCTGTCGGTCTTATCAGTGTAGCTCAGAAGCTAAAAACTGATATAACCAAGCTAACACAGACACTGGCTTTCAGAGATAAGCTCTAGTCCAGTGGAACAGTAGTAGTATGACCCATTTCTCTTTTGTATGGCTACTCTGTTTGAAAATTCTAATCGTACCAAGGCAGCAGAGTGAAATAAGTCAAATGCATGATCTAAAAATACACAAATCACGTATGTCACTTACACCTACCTTTTTTGTTCTTTTCATACCAACCACCTTCAGCAAATGAATATTTGGACTGCAGTCTGTAAAGTCTGTAATTTAACAGATTGACAAGGGTTGACTTCTGCTTTCAGCAAGTTTGGTAAACAGTTGCAGGAGAGAATTGCTAAAAGCTTCAAGGATATCATTGAAATCTTAATTCTGCTTCCTGACAGATTAGTAGCCATACAGAGGCAGTGCTTAATCTATTTTCCAAGCACCTCTTATGCCTGCACATAACGCAAAAGAGGCAGGGCTGGAGTGTTTATGCAGCAACAAAAGATGTGCAGCCCACAGCAACTTCTATGCAGGACCCTCCTGCACTGAGTTGCAAGCCATCTCAAGCCTGTTGGACTGCAACAGCCAAGCAATGAATCCTGCCACTCGAAGAGCACCAGATTAAGGTGAAGACTTTAATTAAACTCTGGCACCAAGATAGTAGAAAGAAGAGCTCTTGGTTATCAAATGGGGAGAGTGGAGCTGAGGCGGATCTGCTCTAACTGCATTGAATGGTATAGCATGATCTTAAGGGCCTGTCAGTCTCCTGTTCTTAGTGAATAAATTAGGTTGATATTATTCATGTTCATGCAGGCATTCTTTTGGGACATTGCTTTCAGGAAGTTACATTAATGGATACTTTCTGAATTGTAATGTGGGAAAGGGACTTGGGAAAGTAAGCATTTACCTACATGACACACAAGCTGTATATCAGGAATGTTTCTTGCTTCCTTATAAATTTAGTAACTTTGGTCAGTACCTTTCCATTATCAATAATTCTGAATCATCTGTCTTGGAAATTGAAATTGCTGTGGCTTGACATTTTGCTGATGGTTGTACGAAGAGTTAGATATGGAGAATTAGATAAAAATTCTTGTACCAGTAAAAAATCTTCATTTGACAATTTCTTAATGCCATAAGAAATAGGAACAGGAGTAGGCCATTTGGCCCATAGAATCATGACTAATACAGCATTATTCATGGCTGCTTTCCTGCCCTTCCCCTTTTAATCCTTGACTCCCTGACTGAACAAGAATCTACCTCAGCCTCATTTGTACACAAGGACTCTGCCCCCACAGCTCTCTGTGGCAAGGAGTTTCAAAGACTCACAATCCTCTGGGAGAAGAAATTCCTCACTTCAGTCTTAAATTGTACCCTCTTTATTCTGAGACTATGTTTTCTTGTCCTAGATACTCTGAAGAAGGGGAAATGCCCTCTTAGCATTTAGCCTGTCAAGTTCCTTAAGAATCCTATATGTTTCAATGAGATCACCTCTCATTCTTCAAAATATCAGTGAGTAGAGCCCCAACCTGTTTAGCCTTTGCTCATAAGATAATGCTTCCTTACTAGGGATCGTCCTAATCAACCTTTTCTGAATTGGTTCAATGAAGTAACATCTTTCCTTAGAGACCAAAACTGCTCTCCATTACTCCAGATGTGGTCTCACCAGCACCTTGTACAACTGCAGTAAGAATTCCCTACTCAAAAGAGAGTACTTTTGAAGGAGCAACCTACAGGGTTCTGAATGGAAAAAAAAATAGTCAGTTTCATAGAATTTGGCAGAAGTGCAGTAACAGCAAAAGAAACACCAAAATTGATTCATAATTAAGAATTTTGTAGAGGCTACCTGATTAATTATTTGCCTCTTGGTAAATCTACTTTTTATCTCATCCTCAATAGTTCATGGTGTTCCTTTTGTTTTCTAGTCTGTTCTGATGTGTTAATACACACTTCCAGGTCCATCATAACCTAGTGTCTTGAACCCAACACTTGTAGCACAGAGCTGGGGAACACCACCAGTATGCCACAAAAACTTTTTTGGATAGGTTGTTCCCTCTTGTATTCACAATCGTTAATGAAATGGAATTGGTGCAAAATAGGATTTGTCTTTGGCTGTACTGTCCTTGCAGCCTTATTTGTATATGGTAATCCAAGAAT